GTGAAGAGTCTGTACAGGCTTTGCATGCAATTAAGTGGCTAAAAAGAAAAGAGATCCCACTGCTATCTCCCGTCAGGGAACGCAGACGTACACAACCTTTGTCATGCTTCACAAAGTCTGCTACAGAGAGGTATGTCAGAAATCATTTCGTTTTGCTGCTCCTGAAATAACTTGTTAAACTGTAGCTGGATCACATCAACTTAGTTAAAGTTAATCAATAGCTGCCTCTTACAGTGGGTATTTGCATTATTATTTGCTTAAAGTACAGAAACACGTAAATGAGCAGTGAGGCATATGGGACCTTAACCAGATGTTACGAAAGGGGAGAGGTTCAAGCTTTGTTGGTCTCTTTCCTCTTTGAGAAGCAGAGTGAGGAGTACCTGTTGCAAAGAGATAAGGAGCAAGCAACGGCTGGGTGGTTATTTCTCCGTCTATCAACTGCAGACGAGTGCCCAGCTGTGAGATATTCCCCTGCACGCTGCGTATGTGAGTGTACTTCATAGCTTTGGGGCTATGAAGAACCAGAGCCTGGATTCATGGACTTGGACTGCCATGGAACAAACCTGGTGGATTATTTCATTTAAGTAATGCTACTTTCTTTTGGTGTGTTCCCTTCCTCCAGCAAATGCTTCCAAAATAACATGCCTTTCTTCCCGAAAGATGCCTGAAAGGAAAAACAACATAGCTGGAAAAAAAAATTCCAACCCCCCAAGAACAGAAACAGGCTCTCAAGTGCCCATTTATTTCTCTCTTCAAAAAAACCACACCAGAATTTACTTTAGCATCCAAAGAAGGAAAATCCCCTGATGGATCTGTCAGCACAAGCTCACCAAGGGTAGGATCATCACGAAGCAGTCTCCAGAGAGGAGCACTCCACAGCTCACTGCACAGGCAGCCGAGGCAGCCAACCCAGTCCGCCTTACTGCTCATCCCTGGCAGACTTCATCCCAACGTGCACAACCACCACTAGCCCAGCGCCCTGAACTGTTTCTGCTGTGACCGAACTGCCAGGTGGACAGTCTTTAAATCACACCCAGACAAGTTTACAGGCTGGAGGGGAGGGACTGAGGGGGTGGAAGGGTGGGAATAATGCCTGTGAGAACCTGACAATAGGAGCACCTTCCCAACCAAGAGAACTTCCTGTTGCTCTCCCAGGCTGAAACAACTTAGCATCGCCGCTAAAGTCACTAGACGGTCTCCGAAAGGGAACAAACGCTCTCAGATAAAAAGCATGATTTACAAGCAGATGTGCTAAGTGCTATCACAACATCAGGAGCCACACATAACGCTGGAGTTTTGCTCAAACAGCTGGGGGAGAGGAGGCCTCTCATTCTCAGCTCTGCAGCAGACTCCTTTGCAACCAACATCACTCTGCTCTCTCCACCCCTCTTATCACCTGGGAAGTAATCTCTCTCCTAAGTAAGGATGCTGGGAAATTCAGTACCAAATGTTTAAGGGTTTTCTAATAGACAGTATTATCAAACTGAAAAGCCCTACTTTTTTTTGGGATGTCAGCTCCAGCCAAAGGTGGGGAGGAAGGGAAAGGGAAAGACAATGCCACCCGTGTGGAAGCAAATAAGAAGTTAGACCTGAACAGCCACAAGGAATAAGACAAAAAAGCAAACAAAGCACCTTCCACCTCAAGCAACAGCACAGTGCTGCCTTAAAAGCCATCGTGTCACATTACATGCAGCTGAGACACACAAGTGCAGAAACAGAACAACTGTGCAAGCATCAAAAAGTTGTACCATTGGGTTAATTTTCAGAAATCTACTCTACTAAAACACAACCAACAGATTTATCACAAAACCAGCTGAACTCCGTTGTATTTCAACAATAGGTTTATTTTAAGAAACATAACATGACATTAAGTAAAAATGCAAAATTGTGCAATTATGGCAAAATGTTTAAAAATCCACACATTTGCCCTCAGAGGACTACAGTACTTCTTACTAACATACCTGAGCACTGAATGTTGGATGCCATTTCTAAACAGCCTCACAAACAGGGAGCTCTTCGACTTCTCGTAGAACATACACACACTGCATGTTGGTGCACCACAACTGCTTTTAGTTATTCTAAGTTTTACTGATGGAATCAAGTGGAAATTACAAAATGTTTCCTTCTAAAGTAACTAATAATTTTGGAAAAGAGATTTACACTCACGTAAGTCCTTACAATGCTAGAAATTCATTTAATAAAGGGAAATAAATGAATGCAGAAAAAATACCAAGTGGGGAAAATGTACAGATTACTGCTTAAATATCATCAGTACCTTTGGTGCATTATTTTTTTTTTTGTGCTGTGCAAGTTTACTTAAGCCTGACTCTACAAAACTTTACCAGGAATCTGACTCAGCAAGACGTAGAAGCATTTAAGAATTGGCAAAACGTCACAGCTACATTACTGTCTCAACAAACTCCTCATGCACAAGATTCAGTATATTCTACTCCCACGGCGAGTTCCAGGATTTAGCTTTTAAACACACCACAGACTTGGATCACACCCTCAGTTTGAATGGTTAAACAGAATGGAGATCTTCGTACTTTAGTGCAGATAAACAAAATTAACAAACCTACTGCAGAATTAACCACAGCATATTGTACTTCTATACATCACATGACCAGTCAACTGCTAACTCAATTCTATTTCATAGTTTCAAGTAATATATTGAAATTTGTTCTACTAAATAAATATAGAAGATTGTCAAAAAGCAGCAAGAAGTCTTGTAAATATTCAACCAAGCTTAAAAAAAAATGAAAACAAAAAAAAAACAACAAGAAAAAAGTTACATAACACTTTGCAAAAAAAAAAGGTTTTACACACAAATGCAACACTGTTAGGGAGGGTGCTTCAGAAAGCTTGCAGCTAGAGGCCTACAACAGCGCAAAGAGAGCTAGTCAAGGACTAAGGATAATTTTAAAAATGAAATTAGTTGTACTTTTTTTAAAAAAAATCTTTATTCTTGGCTATGGATATATATAAAACAGTATCTAGAAGAAAACTAAACACAGAAACAACGCACCTCAACACTGTTGGAAAATGCAGTCTTAGCAAGAATCATCAACTTCAGAAAAAAATTCAGGCGCTCGCACTTGAAAGAAGCAGTTTGGTGAATCTCTGGAAGATGAGGTATGTAATGCGAAGAGGCTTTTTTTTTTTTCCTTTTCATTTCACAGTTTTTTGTTTGTTTTTGCCTTTCAAACATTTTGTGCAAGAATTAAGAACTAGAACCAGGCGAGTATTTTCGTGTATTAGAAAGATTCCATTAGGGAACTGTAAGACCACATAGTAAACAAACATTATCCAAATCCTCAGCCATGCCAGGGGGATAAACAATGAGCTAAATATTTGGCTTACTGAAATATCAGCTGCTAAGCCAGATAATGGTAAGCACTTACAGCCAGCGACGGCCGCTGCCATTTCAAGTTAACTGGTTTACTTGGGTCGATTTGAGAAAACAGGGAAGAGTAAGATAACATACTCACAGCTCTGCAAAAATTAGAGCAGCAACAAATTAAACCTGGCAAATTACAGCTGATACGAGTTTTAAGATTCGTCTTTTCCCTTTTTAAATCCAGTTTTCACTACTGAAGTAGAGGCTGAACTTTGAACTTATTTACTTCTTCAAAATAAGCTAAACACAGAGAAAAGTGTCGGGACATATCGGATCTCTACTCTACATTTGCATCTAAGGTTATTTAAGCCATGGACACGTATTGTTAATTTTACTTTAATACACTGGAAATGAAGACAGCTCAGTAGTGCAAATTTTCACATTATAGATCAGAATGAAGTAGAAAGTATTTGAGGGCTTCATTGCGGGGAGAAAAGAAAAACAACTTGTGAAGTTAAGCCACGCTTTTCCAAATAACTGGAGCACATGCCAACTCTGCACATAGCACTGTACTTTAGTGGAGACAGAATGAACACTCCACACAAAAAGAAAAAAAAAAAAATCAGTACTATTAAGGCCATATCCTGTCACCATTCTGTGCAAGAATATCACTGCAGTAAAAACATTATGTTAAAAAAGACAATATGATGACAGGACAGGGCCTGAAGACAGACACACACTCCATGAAAAATAACAGGCTGTCTTAAACAGTAGCATAAGGCTAGCCTATTTCAGACAAATAAGTATTAAAAATGTACTAGCACCATCAACTTTTGGATTAAAGCCCTTTATGGGATGGAAAAAAGTTTTAAGCAGCGTTAAAAAAAAAAAGTTTTTACAGCACTACATCTATGTGGCATAAAACAGGTGTTGGGATTCCCCCCCCCCCCCCCCCATAAAATTAAGCTCAATTTTAACAAAAATCCACAGATAGGAAGTGGTACAGTAATCTGAACAGGCCTCTGTCCAGGGCAAGAGTACTCCATGTTCCAATTCTGACTCGAGTTTTATTCCCAAATTGTAGTGCACAAACAACATCACAAACATCTTAGCATTCAAAAAACAGTACAAAAAAAAAATCATTATGAATCAGGATCTACCATTCCTCTATGTACTTTCAATCTAAAATAACAACAAAAAAAAAACAACTTAGTGATATTGCCTCAAATTTTACCCGTATTTAAAAAAAAAAGAAAAAAAAGTCACTTCAAAGCATCTTGGACATCCTTAGCTATTAATGCTAGATTTTCTTTCACTGTAGTGCATAGTTATCCTGGCTCTTCCACTTAATTTGCTCTTACCACAAAAACACCCCTCTAGTATGACATGATTAAGTGTTTATCAGAAAAAAAAAAAGCTGATAATTGCACTTTGTAACCTCCTTCTCATTTCCCAGGAAATATCAGTAAATATGAAACTGAACCAGTAATTCCCTCCCCAGACTGCAACCTTTAAAGAGCACCCATCCCCATGTACAAAAAACTGTCTGTTTCAGCTTACAATAAATACTGACAGAACGTCTTTGTTTTCTTTTAAGACATGTTTTCTCTAGCATCAGATTACCACTGCAATCACTAAGGCCTGTTACTGAAAAAAAAAAAAATTAAATAACTTTCTGAAGACACTGCGGGTACAATTTAGCAACAACACATTCAAAATGCCGGCCTAAATCCCAGAGCCTGTCCGGAGTCTCGTACACTTTCTGCCATTGGTCAGTAACCTCGTCGTACTGGTAGAGCGAATTCTTCCTGCTGGTTCTGAAAACATGTTCCTCGACAGTGACTTGAGTAGCTCTGACAAACAGATGGAGTTTGTTTTTGAGGAGTACAAGTTTTATATACGGATTAATGGACTGATCACATGGAAAGTCTTTTTTTCGAGTCCACTTGTTCTGTTCAATGTCATAGGCCTCTACGGTAAACATACGTTGGTGGTTGCCACAGGTCCCAGCTATGTAGTAGATGGAGTCATTGTATACAGTTGCCAAGCCTTGGATTCTAGGCACAGTCATCGGGGTCAAAAACCCCCAGTAATCCTTCTGAGGATCATAGCAGAGAAAAAATTCCCCTGAAAAGAGAGGAAAAACAACACATAACTTATGCTTCGTTTCTAGAACAGCAATTCTGCAGCTACCAAGCTTTCAGCTTCCACAGACAGAAACGGTCCACCAACTTTTAAAAGCCTTGATCCCGTAACACAAAACCTAGCACCATCGCCTGCTTCCTTCCAAGTGCATTACAAAAACATCAATACCACGAGTAAAAATGACTTCAAGTTTCTATTTCAGCTGACGAAGAACAAATTTGAACCATATGCAGCCTTCCAGTACTTAAAGGGGGCCTACGGGAAAGCTGGAGAGGGGCTTTTTACAAGGGCATATAGTGATAGGACAAGGAGCAATGGATTTAAACTGAAAGAGGGGAGATTTCTATTAGATCTAAGGAAGAAATTCTTCACTCTGAGGGTGGTGAGGCAGTGGAACAGGTTGCCCAGAGAAGTTGCAGATGCCCCATCTCTGGAAGTGTTCAAGGCCAGGTTGGATGAGGCTATGAGCAACCTGGTGTAGTGGAGGGTTTCCCTGCCCATGGCAGGGGGGTTGGAACTAGATGATCTTTGAGGTCCCTTCCAACCCAAACCATTCTATGATCCTATGATTCATATCAGAAACTCAATGTTTTACATATTTCCTGGCTATCCTTTACTACTTCTAAACCATGCTTAATAATTTGGGACAAAACCTTTCAAGATTCCAGTCTTGAAATGTCTGAAGTTTTTGTTTCATTCTTGAACATCTTCACAACATGTCACCTACAGATTGCGGAGTCTCAGGATTCAGCACTTGAAAGTTGTTAAATCTGAGCAAATACTGGTGTAACGGAGCACCTCCAGTGCAATAAAGAACACAGAAATAATACAGTAAAACGGGTGGAGCATAGCTTAAGTCTTACAGATAATACCTTTTTGGATTATTCATTTTTGGTTTACACTGCAATCTCCTATGACTGATGCCTGAGTTCCACTGGCATTTTAACACTCTCATCAATCCTTACTGACTAGTTCAAACTTACGAGCTTTCTCTAGAAAAAATATTGAAGATGAACAATTTTTTATACTACTTCAGTGCGACCCAATCAAGGTATTACTCACCACATACAAACAGAAAAGTTGCCTATTCCCCCAACATGAATCTTTACAATTTGCTAGTTAGCACAGCAAAGCAGTTTGCTTGTTTATGCAAGCAGAGTTGTTGTTCAAACCACTGAAACACAGAGTTAGTGCAGCTAAAATCTGTAAACCAGACGCACTCTGATTCTATAGGTTATAGTAATATCCACTTTCTAGCAGTTTTAAGAAACATTTAAAGGATGAACAGATACTCTACCAAGTTGAATATTCTTCAGCATTCCTTTTTAGCCATCTAAAGCAGATGTCTGACCCAACAGAGGAGACAGAGCGAGAAAACTTGCTACTGTATCAGAATTATTATTATATTATTAAAGCCACAACCAAATAATTATTATTATTATTAAAGCCACAACCAAATAATTATTATTATTATTAAAGCCACAACCAACAAGAGTCAAACTTGACACAGAAACAATGAAAGAAGAAAACTCTCTGCAAATCATGCGGACACTCAGAAACTTTAGCAAAGGAATGCAAATTCAAGAAAACAGGTTGACTTCTGGTAAATAACAATGACCTCACACTATCCTCTTTCCTGTGGTATGGAGAATGACCCAAAGAGGGAGCCGGTTTGGATCCAAGTCCCTCACTTCCACGGGTGATCACAGAGGTGGCCTGAGCAACACGTAACCAAGACACCCCCTTCTCCTTTCTTTCCATTTCTTGGGACTCTTACTACACCCTCACAGGCTAGTCTCAGCATTTTTAAGTGCAGACTGCTATATGGCTCATTCATATGTACAAATACATATTTTATATAAGATCTCCATAAAAAAAATAAAGGGGAGAATAAATTATTTGATCTGTTTCCATAATGATCCTTTTTATTCAGTTAAGAATCAATATCTAATATAACAATAAGTCTGACCATTTACTGGAAGAAAGGACGTTAAGGCAGTACTATAGTTACTGACCAAAGAAACAACTAACTGAGATAAATCATCTTTCTCAGCTACCAGCACAACTTCAGAAACACAGCAGGGCAGGAAACACAGGCCTGCAGGGGTTAATTGACTTTCACAAGCCACCAAGAATACAGACACCAGGAATTTTCAGAGGTTTAGCTAAGTAAAACGCAAAGTGCTTTTTCACAGGGCAATATCTTTTCTTCAACATCAGTGCATTTCACCCAGATAAAGAAGATTTAATAAAGAATTTTCACAGTAAAATCTAATACCACACTGTTGACTTCAAACACCACCAAAACTGCCATTTGTGGAACAACTCAATACCACAACTCAGTGACACATCCCCAAGGCATGAGAACCCAAGCAGCAACCTCACTCTTCCTCACCCACTGCTCTCCCTAACTTTCCTTCCCACTGCTCTCCCTAGCTTTCCTCCCACCCATTGTCCCAGGGCACTCTTTAGAAAACCCAAGTGTCCTGGGTGTTTAAGGCAGAGTGCAGACAGTCAGACTGGACAATCCTCACTTCCAACAGAACACCACGTAGTCAGTCCAATCGCCTTACCCTGTAAGACATAGATGTTGTCCTTATATTCCACAGCACTGTGAAACTCCATTGCCACTGGCATGGGACAGACAGCTGTCCAGCAGTTCTCTCGGCTGTCGTAACACTCCACAGACTTGAGTGAGTTTCGCCCGTCTCCTTCATAAACGCGACCTCCTATGGCGTACAGCTTACCACAGCAGTGAACCAGTTTGCAGCCTATTCTGGCTCGCAGCAAAGGAGCTTTGGGAATCCACCTGTTGCCAGAGTGATCGTACATCCAAAAGTCACTCTCTGCTCTGTGGTCAATGGAGACCTCGCTGCTGCTGGGTCTGTAACCCCCCGCAATGTAAATGTCGTTATCAGGAGACACGAGAATTCCAACCTCCCTCAAGTCGTTTGGTGGCTTGCATAGTTTGAACACTCTCCCTGTGACCGAATCCAAACAAGGCACTGTTTGCTTCTTTCCTGAGTGTTTGTGGGCAGCATCAAAGCATATGATCATTTCGGAAGCGGTCATTCCAAGCCGTTGCGTGTAGCCATTGGCACTATGTTGTCCCTTTTGTACACAGCTTTTGGCCATAGCCTGTGCAAACACGGGAGGGATTTTCTCTAAAAAGGTCTCTTCCAACAGAGGCATACGGATGCATTTGGCAAATATCTCTGGAAGGTGCACTTCTCTCTTATCTTGTTCATGCTCAAACCACCTTATAATGCTGTCATAAACATGTTCTTCTTTGTCTACGTTTAAATCATCGCTGTCGAGTATACTTATCAGCTGGTCCTTTCTCAGCTGAAGAAATTCTTGCTCTTTGGTGACACTCAGGAACTTTTTACGAATGTAGTCTTGCGACCTGTCCTTGAGTTCCTGATGACCATAGTGATCAGCGAAGATAAACACCCCAATGGAGTTCTGTGGGTCCAAATGGCTGATCATGTATTTAGCACACTGGTCTTGTATGGAAGGGATCTGGAAGATACTGGCTGCAGTGAACAAAGCCTGGACGTTGGCCTCTGTCAGCATTACTCTGGAGGTATATGCATAGTTCAACACCAAATGCATTGACTCTGCTTCGACACCAACGATACGAACTTCCTTCTGGGTACTCTCCGTAAGGCCGCTAGTGAACATAGATCTACAAAAGAAAAACATTTAGCAGTTTATTTGTGATTACCTCCTAGCTACAGGTATGAGAAACAAAATGGCCTTGTATAGCTAGTCCCACCACGTTTGCCCTTTCATCAGCACAAACACATCTATCACGGGTGTTACACTGTCCTGTTTGAGCACCCAAATGTAAGGTCGGTTCTAGACTTACTGAAACAAAAGGGGCAAGCTGAAACCTCTTGCTTAATTACCTCAATAACCCGTATTAAAATTCACTCTATTCACAAGCAAACCTCTTGACATATCCAAGTCTTTGCAGTCAACTTTCTACATGTTACTTCATAGGCACATTCTAGAATACCTGAATATATTTAAAAGAAAACAAGTGGCTTAAATATGCTGTTACTGTATCCAAGATATCCTCAATACTGGAGGCAGTTGTTTTTCTTTTTTTTTGGTTTTTTTTTTCCAAATCATGTGAGGTTTTCTCCAGTGAAACTCTCCTTTGATACGCAGACACTGATAACTCATTGACTTTAAGAGAAGAGTAACCTTTACTTACTGGGTGCACTGTATTACTGACAGTTACATGGAATATTAGTATAGGTGCAATTTTTTTCAAATTTTCACTAAATGAAAATAAGTTGTAATTCTGCTTTCGATCCCCACTAGAACAATGGACTATTGTACCTGAAATAAGGACTGATTGCAGCAAGAACATTCCTATGACAGGAGAATGTTTTCCCATGATCCACTTCCACTACAATATCTGTCAGCTGTCCTTCATCATACATGGTTTTAAGCTGCTGAAGAATACTACAGGCATGGAAGGGGTCCATTCCACTGCTGACTGTGTTTGAAGAAGGAATTCCGTTCAGTGTTTGTGAAAACTTACTGGGTTCTACAAAGCAAAATTGAAACTGTTTAACAAAAAGCAAACAAACAAAAAAAAACAACCCCCAAAAACCGCCACACATACAAAAAAAAACATGTACAAACAAGAATTAGCAGAAATTAATATTCCATACTTCCTCACTGTCACCACACACCAACAGCAAGTCTAACATTTTCAAGGGTGAATAAAGATACCTCTTTTTCTTCTTTTCTTTTCCCAATGTACATGTAGGTTACCATTAACATATAAAATTATATCCACTAATATTAAGGAAAAAAATCATATAAATAGTACATATTTATTACACTTCACTGAAGAGAGGGGAAATTACGTCAAGAATCACAATGTTTACTGGCTTATAAAATGGGAAAAAACAAAGAATGCAGAAGAATAAAACAAGACCCCAACCCACATCAGCATTACACAAGCCTTTATGCACAAACTCAACTTTACACCGAAACAGGAACCGGCTCCTGACTTACACCAGGGACAGTTAATAGCACAGACTCACCAAGAAACAGCCCTGCAGTAAGTGCTGGGCCACAAACTTAAATTCACATAAATATGATAAAGGGTCACATGTTTTTCTTTACAAATAAAATGCAATTGCCATTTACAATCACTCAGGTTTGAAGGAGCTCATACATCATGTGAAAACATACGAAGTGGAGCACACGCTTCTAGGCGACATATGGTATGGCTAACAAAGTAAATCCCAAAGTGAAATTGGGCAACCTCTCAAGCACAAGAAACTGTTTCGTAAGAGCAACAAAATTTTTACGCAACGACAACAAAGGAGAGCCCAAAGGAAAAACATGAGGTGGTAAGAGCTGCCAATCAGGTAAAGCTGCTGACTGCAACAGAGAACGCTTCCAACGAGTTTTGGGCAACACAAAAGGGCGAAGAGGGCAGCGAACAACAATGCTGATGATGAATAGGAGGTTTAAATTCTAACTCGTGGCGACACACAGCAGTTACAGTTTCTCTTACTCAGAATTCAGACACAGCTTTGAGCACGGTCACAATTAAATCAGCAGGGAGCTGCTGTTGGGCACGCGCTTCCCATGGCAGGCTGGGGGCCAAACACTGTCAGAGTCTCTTCAAAGTGCTGTCAGGAAAAGCCTTCAAAACTTTTTTTTCAAATGGAATAGTAAGTACTTAAAGGTAAGGTCTGCAACAGGGGAGTTTACATTATCACAGTAACTGAGATGCAACATTCAAAACTAACCACTCATTAGGGAAGGGGAGAATTTGTAATTGTTCTTGTTCAGAAACGTTAATCACTAGCAAGCAAATTCCAAGTAAATAACAGTCTGCTAGATCAGTTCCAAGGCTTCCTACCTAGCAAAGCTTTGATGTACCAGAAAACTTTGATGCAGTTACCATTGCAGAAGAGGTTCATTTACTTCCTAACAGTGAAAAATATGCAAAACAGTTCCTGTCTGACCCTGCCAGCCACTCAGGCAATGAGCACACGCGATCAAGGCAGCTTCCAGCACTAGTGGGCTCAGCCAGGAAGAGATACTTATCCCCGTATTCAAGTTTTTCTGTTTAATCCTTGACACTATTCACATTACAGTTTTCACCCCGTAAAACCTTCCCAGACACTTTCACCATCTTCATTTTCTCTCTCTCACCCCAAACATCTTTTTCCTCTATTAATATCCCTCTCCCTTGCACCTCAAAATTTTCACTGTTTCTCCCAGACGTCACCCCAAAATACTCTCCAAATTAATTTCTCAGACACCTCTCTCTTCTCCACTCTCACAGAAGCCTTTCATCACGGACAACCCCATTCCTCCCTCCAGGCTCAGCTCCCCTCACACAGACCTCAGCGCAGGGGCGTCCCTCGCAGGAAACCCTCCTTCCACCCTCCCAAAGCACACATTCCCTGACGAGGTATTAATCCCTCCTCACATCCAGGCCCTCACTCAGGCGTTCTCTCACCTCACACCCCCGACCCCGTCCCCCACAGACACCTCCCAGGCACCCCTCTCCACTATCACTTTTCCCACCTGGAAGCGACGCCCTGCGCGGAAGCAAGCCCCTCACCCAAGCACTTTTGCCCCACCAGGCCTCCTGAGGCCCACCTACCCCTCACAGCCACCCCTCAGCCCAGGGACCCCGGACACCCCTCCCTCAAGCGGTGCTCCCCACGGACACCCCATGGAGCACCCTCTGCGACACCCCTCAGCAGAGAGGCCCCAATACCCTCCTCTGTGTGGCCCCCACCCCCAGACACCCCTC